TAGGTCAACTTAGATTACGTTAGGTAAGGTTAAATTAGGCTTGCTAAGGTTAAATTAGGTTAAGTTTGATTGCAGTGGGTTGGGTAAAGCTAAGTTAGGTTAGGTTGGGATGGGTTAGATTAGATTAGGATATATTAGGTCAACTTAGGTTAGTCCAGGCTATTAAGGCTTCGTATAACCCAAATAAGCTTTAGTATGCTGCATACATTCACCCCTAACGTCAGTATGACACATACACCACTTGCCCTAGCGTCAGTATGACACACGTATCACACACACTCATACCGAAGAATGACACATATAAACCACACAGAGACATATGTGTGCTGAGCTGCACAGGCGAAAAAAGAGAGAGAGAGAGAGGCTGGACTGGTCGACCCTGGTGGGGACATTTCCGCCAGGTTCCCCACCACTATCATCCTATGGAACAACACTGGCGATGGAACAATGGAACAACACCCATGGGACACCACTGGCTAAGGGGCAACACTATCCTCCAATTTTTATTTTCTCCATTATAATTTGCAATTCTCTTGACTATAAAAAATGCATTTTGGGAAACTTAAAAATATTAAAATACTCATAAATCTGTTCCGTAAATCTGAATTTTTTTTAATTAAATGGTTTAATGTAGCACTTGTGTTTCTGACGGTTTGACAGCATTGTAAAAATAGGAGTTTTTTAACATTATGTTTGTAAGGCTTGCGGGAGCGATTTCAATTTTTATGTGTATGGTGAGACCTGAGATTGTGGTGAGGATATGGTGAGTGTATAGTGAGTATAGTGAGAGAGTTGTGAAAGTAAGGATATAGTGTGGGTGAGGGAATAGTGAGAAATAAGAGTATGCTGAAGATATGGTTAGTGAAGAGTAAGAGAGATATATGTCTGTGATGAGTATATGGTGTATATATTGTATATTTATATAATACACAAGGTGGGTACCTGTGTATTGTATTATACACCTGTGTTCTGTATGGTGGGTAGACAATGGTGTATAGTGAGAGATATAACAAGGGGGGGGGGGATATAGTGAGAAGTGTGAGTATAGTGAGTTTATGGTGAGGGGTGAGTGAATATTCTCAGAGTATGGTGACTGTGAGTGTATAAGTCTCCTGACTAACTCATTACTCACCTCTCTCTCATTACTCACTGAATCCCATCCTTTGTTTGCTCTTTCTCTCGTTGTTTACTTCCTAACCTGTTTATTTACTCCCTGACCTTTTGTTTACTTTCTCCTTGTTTACTCCCCGTTATTTACGCTTCCTCTCCCGTTGTTTATCCCTCTGTTGTTTCGTGTTTCCCCTGTTGCTAACATCCTAACCCGTTGTTAACTCCTGTTGTATTTTATTTCTGATTTTTGTTTATTATTATTACCGTTTATCCTAGCATCTGTTGTTTATCCTGGTGTCCGTTGTTTAGCCTGGCGTCCGTTGTTTATCCTGACGTCCGTTTGTTTATCCTGGCGTCTGTTGTTTATCCTGGTGTCCGTTTGTTTATCCTGGTGTCCGTTTGTTTATCCTGGTGTCCGTTTGTTTATCCTGGTATCTGTTGTTTATCCTGCCGTCTGTTGTTTATCCTGACGTCTGTTGTTTATTCTGGCGTCTGTTGTTTATCCTGGCGTCCGTTGTTTATCCTGGCGTCTGTTGTTTATTCTGGCGTCCGTTGTTTATCCTGGCGTCTGTTGTTTATCCTGGTGTCTGTTGTTTATCCTGGCGTCTGTTGTTTATCCTGGTATCTGTTGTTTATCCTGCCGTCTGTTGTTTATCCTGACGTCTGTTGTTTATCCTGGTGTCTGTTGTTTATCCTGGTGTCCGTTTGTTTATCCTGGCGTCTGTTGTTTATTCTGGCGTCTGTTGTTTATCCTGGTGTCTGTTGTTTATCCTGGCGTCTGTTGTTTATCCTGGCGTCTGTTGTTTATCCTGACGTCTGTTGTTTATTCTGGCGTCTGTTGTTTATCCTGGTGTCTGTTGTTTATCCTGGTGTCCGTTTGTTTATCCTGGTGTCCGTTGTTTAGCCTGGCGTCCGTTTGTTTATCCTGGTGTCTGTTGTTTATCCTGGTGTCCGTTTGTTTATCCTGGCGTCTGTTGTTTATCCTGACGTCTGTTGTTTATCCTGGTGTCTGTTGTTTATCCTGGTGTCCGTTTGTTTATCCTGGCGTCTGTTGTTTATTCTGGCGTCCGTTGTTTATCCTGGCGTCTGTTGTTTATCCTGGTGTCTGTTGTTTATCCTGGCGTCTGTTGTTTATCCTGGTATCTGTTGTTTATCCTGCCGTCTGTTGTTTATCCTGACGTCTGTTGTTTATCCTGGTGTCTGTTGTTTATCCTGGTGTCCGTTTGTTTATCCTGGTGTCTGTTGTTTATCCTGGTGTCCGTTTGTTTATCCTGGTGTCCGTTGTTTAGCCTGGCGTCCGTTGTTTATCCTGACGTTTGTTGTTTATCCTGACGTCCGTTTGTTTATCCTGAATCCTGCCCCTCCAGTGAACCATCCACAGTGGTTCTCAGCGGTTCGGACAACGTCGGCCCGAGGCGAGGGTTAAACCGGTTTCCTGTTGAGTGAGCACATCCCTTCACTGCTCCGTAGAAAGCCCTAAACCGGTTCTTAGAGGTTAAACCTGATGGGAAAGATGTGCCTTCCTGTCTTGCTCACCCCTGATAACACCGCCACTCAGGACAATGAAGATGGTGCTCATATTCACTGCCACACAGGACAGTGAAAAATGCTGCTCATATTCACTGCCACAAAGGCCAGAGGATCGCCTTAAGACGATCTAAACTGCATATATATATATATATATATATATATATATATATATATATATATATATATATATATATATATATATATATATATATATATATTTCATGAGGTTATAGTCTGCTACATTAAACAGAATACATGTTTGAATTTACAAATTTGTAAATGTACCTTTCTGTGAAACTGCAACGCAAAACCCTCCATGTACTCCACCCCCTCCATCCTCCTACCAACCTCCCTCCACCCCTCCACTCCCCTCCCCCTCCGAACACACGAGAGTTCGAACCCTCGTCACGGCCCTTGTGGATTGGTTCGTCTTTTATAAATGTTAATATTTATTAAAGCATTTAACTCAGGCAAATCCCGATAAACCTATGAACGTCCCGTACCACAGACCAGTGCGCTTGCAAAGTTGGGCGAGGCTCTCTATCCACCAAGCATCTGGCTATTTATCAAGGTATTTATTTATCAATCTCTTCCGCGTTCTATATAATCATCTCAATGTTTTTTTATCTCTATTTGAGATTATTATTCATATATATATTTTTTAATTTTATTGGTTCACTTTCTCATCCACTTCTTCACTCTTTCTCCCTTATCCACTTCTTCACTCTCACTCTATTCCTTAAGTTTCTGTTCCATCCGCTTACTCCATCTCGTTGCCTCTCCACACAACCCATGCCTCCTTCCCTCCCTTTGTCTCCCTCCCTCCCTCCCACACTCTCTATCCCTCTGCATCTACTTAGAACCTCTCCCTCTCTTCCTCCCTTACCCACAACCCTCCCTACGTCCCCGTCCCTCCCTCCTTCTCTACCTTCATCCTTCCTTCCCTCCCTTCATTTACCTGATTCAGAGCAGGGCATTAATTAGTAATCCAGGCCTTATCGGGGGTATTATATAGCCGAGGCTATTGTGGCCTCGGCGTCTCGGGTGTTGAACCCTAATTAGGTGGCTTCTGGGAGTGGGTGCCAAACAGACTGACAGATAGACAGGGAGATGTATAAATCACAAGGAAAATAAGTGGGTGGTAGACAGGTAGTAAGTAGACAGACAAGCAGGTAGACCGGTATTCCTCTCTACCTGCTTGTGAATGTGTATGTATGTAAGCCCTAGAAAGCAAAGGTACCAGAAAAGTGTTCGTTTATAAGCACTAGAAAGCAAAGGTACCAGAAAAGTGTTCGTTTATAAGAACTAGAAAGCAAAGGTACCAGAAAAGTGTTCGTTTATAAGAACTAGAAAGCAAAGGTACCAGAAAAGTGTTAGTTTCCAAGCCCCGAAAAACAAAGGTACCAGAAAAGTCTCCGTTTAGGTTTACCAGTCTCCGTGGTGTAGTGGTGAGACACTCGCCTGGCGTTCCTCGAGCGCTTTGTCATGGGTTCGTATCCTGGCCGGGGAGGATTTACTGGGCGCAAATCCTTAACTGTAGCCTCTGTTTAACGCAACAGTAAAATGTGTACTTGGTTGTAAAAACGATTCTTCGCGGCGGGGATCGTATTCCAGGGACCTGCCCGAAACGCTACGCGTACTAGTGGCTGTACAAGAATGTAACAACTCTTGTATATATCTAAAAAAAAACAAAAAACAAAAAAGTGTTGGTTTCTAAGCCCTAGAAAGCAAAGGTACCAGAAAAGCGTTGGTTTCTAAGCCCTGAAAAACAAAGGGTACCAGAAAAATGTTGGTTTATAAGCCCCTAGAAGACAAAGGTACCAGAAAAGTGTTGGTTTATAAGCTCCGAAAAACAAAGGTATCAGAAAAGTGTTAGTTTCTAAGCCCCGAAAAACAAAGGTAACAGAAAAGTGTAGTTTTCTTAGCCTTGGGAAACAAAGGTACCATAGGTTAACTAAGCCTTATCAATAATACTAAAATGTGGTTGTACAAATACTCTTCGAGGTCATGACTAGAATCAATTTAATAAGACTGCATAAATGTCTGAAATAAAGTTTTTAAGGTCTATGATTACTAATTATAGCTGTTAGTAATAATATTATCTGAAGAGTATATAGCAACGAAAAGTGTGGTAATTATGAGGAGAAATCGCTACTAAAGTGATATAATATAGTACTTGAATAGGATATAAGGATAAGGATACTGGGTTATGAGAACGAATTGAAGGAACAGTGCCCAACCACTTGGACAATCGGGTATCGAACGGCGACCCTACTTGTAACATCGAAATTAGATCAGCGGAAAATGTTTCTGTGTTGAGTTAGACAAATATATTCTTGGAAGGAGTTAGATACAACAGGCTAATGTATCTTTTGTTCTATATTGCTTTTATTTGAGCATATACAGTGAAAAGAATGCAACCAGACGGCGCTCCTGTAGCGGCTGGAATGAGGGCGGCCCTCCCGTAGAGGCTGGAATGAGGGCGACCCTCCCGTAGAGGCTGGAATGAGGGCGGCCCTCCCGTAGAGGCTGGAATGAGGGCGACCCTCCCGTAGAGGCTGGAATGAGGGCGGCCCTTCCGTAGAGGCTGGAATGAGGGCGGCCCTCCCGTAGAGGCTGGAATGAGGGCGACCCTCCCGTAGAGGCTGGAATGAGGGCGACCCTCCCGTAGAGGCTGGAATGAGGGCGGCCCTCCCGTAGAGGCTGGAATGAGGGCGGCCCTCCCGTAGAGGCTGGAATGAGGGCGACCCTCCCGTAGAGGCTGGAATGAGGGCGGCCCTCCCGTAGAGGCTGGAATGAGGGCGGCCCTCCCGTAGAGGCTGGAATGAGGGCGGCCCTCCCGTAGAGGCTGGAATGAGGGCGGCCCTCCCGTAGAGGCTGGAATGAGGGCGGCCCTCCCGTAGAGGCTGGAATGAGGGCGACCCTCCCGTAGAGGCTGGAATGAGGGCGACCCTCCCGTAGAGGCTGGAATGAGGGCGGCCCTCCCGTAGAGGCTGGAATGAGGGCGACCCTCCCGTAGAGGCTGGAATGAGGGCGGCCCTCCCGTAGAGGCTGGAATGAGGGCGGCCCTCCCGTAGAGGCTGGAATGAGGGCGGCCCTCCCGTAGAGGCTGGAATGAGGGCGACCCTCCCGTAGAGGCTGGAATGAGGGCGGCCCTCCCGTAGAGGCTGGAATGAGGGCGGCCCTCCCGTAGAGGCTGGAATGAGGGCGGCCCTCCCGTAGAGGCTGGAATGAGGGCGGCCCTCCCGTAGAGGCTGGAATGAGGGCGACCCTCCCGTAGAGGCTGGAATGAGGGCGACCCTCCCGTAGAGGCTGGAATGAGGGCGGCCCTCCCGTAGAGGCTGGAATGAGGGCGACCCTCCCGTAGAGGCTGGAATGAGGGCGGCCCTCCCGTAGAGGCTGGAATGAGGGCGACCCACTCCAAAAGTCTCCATGTGGGACCTACTTCAGCACCCGTTGAAGGACCTTCAGGAGTCCGACCCTCTCCTCGTGAAGGGAGTGGCGGCTGGCGACCAGGTCCCTGGCGGCGGCGACAAGGGCGCGTCTGAGAGGGACGTGGCGGAGCAGGGCTTCGAGCCCCCGAAGAAAGCTGTCGGGACAGGAGAAGAGGAGGCCGGAGTGGCCATGGGTCACGACGGAGGCGTTGCCAGGGATGTCTCGAGCCAGCACGGGCGTCCCTGGGGGCGGAAGGACGCAAAGGGTGTTAATATATGAATGGTGAAGAAATATAGATGAAATGAATCCATGTATAAGGGAAAGAACCAAACAGAAGACTTTAAGTAATCCACTTACGAATCCTCTAATTTTTGTTTTCTCAGTCATGACGGCTTTATTGACATTTATTAAACCGTTTGTGAACTTTAGGCGTCACAACACGAAGTTATTTTGTTATTAATAGCGTCGTAGTGTTGCGGAGCCCATAAGGTTAATATAAGTAAACAAAGCCGGCATGATTGAGAAAAGATGCACAGGTTTAGTAAGTAGTTGTGTAAATTCTAGCCACAGTTACGATCAGCTATGATCTGAGACATATATGCTTGCTGAATGGAGACCACAAGGGTCTATTGAGATGGCACAACAACACCCCCTTCTTAAGTGGTGGGGGTGGTGTTGTTGGGGTTGAGGGGGGGTGGTGTTGTGGGGTTGAGGGGGGGGTGAGGTATTGACAATTGTGTAACTAGCTTCACAAGACTGTTATTTGCTTAACAAAATGAACTGTAGGGTTCAGCTCTTGAACCCGTTATGTCTCTATGTAACAACCCCCCCCCCCCTCACGGAATGGGGATAGGGTGCATAACAAGTGACTGCCTACCAGTCCGATTCGTTCTCTCGATTCAACACTCCGTAAAAAAAAACACAACTCCTTTTTGCCTAGCCAGAAACGCACGCACCCAACCAACCTCCCTAACCTAACCTAACCTAACCTACCGATACCTTAACGTACAAAATGAGACACATTTGTCGACAGTACGAGCTAAATCTGTCAATTTCTCATTCATACGGGTATGAATGAGAAATTAGCAATACAGTATTGGAAGCCATCTGTCTGTATATTTTCCTAATGGATAAGATTAGCTTTTGAGGGGTCAATACGCCCTAGTGAGCCACACAAATGCTTCTGTCAACTTGTAATACGTGTGTGAAGATATGTTAAGACGTTCTTCGGATAAACTAATGGATTCGTGACCCCTACGTGGTAATTACGGCCTGTTTGGGGTAGCACGAGTGACCTCTGACCCTCTCGTAGACGGTTGGAACAAGTTAGGTGAGAAGGTGGTGGAGGCCAAGACCGTCAGCAGTTTCAAAGCGTTATATGACAAAGAGTGCTGGGAAGACGGGACACCACCACGAGCGTAGCTCTCATCCTGTAACTACACTTAGGTAATTACCTGATATGACCTCTCGGATCTCGTGTGACCTCTAACCTCATGACCTGCTATGATCACTGACCCCATGTGAAGATATTATGAGAAAAAGCTTTTAAAGAACTAAAAAAGAGTGGTCAATATAACACAAGAGAGACACGCCATGAACAATATCCAGCAACCAAAAAACATTCTGTCTCCTTGAAAAAAAAGACATGAAAAATATACGTTGAAAAATATTCCCCGGCAATATATTTCAATTACCACTTGTGAAGCTGGCGATACTCGTGGCCTCCGAGCCAGGCCGGAATGGTGGTAAAATGTTGAAAATAACTCGATGACTGTACCTTGAGGTGCTTCTGTTGCAACACCAGCTGCCGTCAGCGACCACGAGGCTGTCTGTGCAACGTCTGTCATCAATGGGCTCATGGCTGCCCTTGCAACATGTCATCAATGGGCTCATGGCTGTCTGTGCAACGTCTGTCATCAATGGGCTCATGGCTGGCTTTGCAACATATGTCATCAATATGCTCATGGCTGTCCTTGCAACATATGTCATCAATGGGCTCATGGCTGCCCTTGGAACATCTGCCATCAATGGGTTCATAGCTGCCCTTGCAACATGTCATCAATGGGCACATGGCTGCCCTTGCAACATGTCATCAATGGGCACATGGATGCCCTTGCAACATGTCATCAATGGGCACATGGATGCCCTTGCAACATGTCATCAATGGGCTCATGGTTGTCCTTTGCAATGTCTGCCATCAATGGGCTCATGGCTGCCCTTTGCAACGTCTGTCATCAATTGGCACATGGATGCCCTTGCAACATGTCATCAATGGGCACATGGCAGCCCTTGCAACATGTCATCAATGGGCACATGGATGCCCTTGCAACATGTCATCAATGGGCTCATGGCTGTCCTTGCAACATATGTCATCAATGGGCACATGGCTGCCCTTGGAACATCTGCCATCAATGGGTTCATAGCTGCCCTTGCAACATGTCATCAATGGGCTCATGGATGCCCTTGCAACATGTCATCAATGGGCTCATGGCTGGCTTTGCAACGTCTGTCATCAATGGGGACATGGCTGCCCTTGCAACATCTTGTCTTTAAGGACCACATTATAAAATAAATTGCAAAGATTGTTTTTATTAAAGACTGAACATCTGAAGATTATAAACAGAGAAAATACATAGATCGATAAGAATATATATCCTATAAGGAGGTGGGTGAGAAACTCATTAGGCAAACTAGAGACTCAAGAGCGGCCAGTTTCCTGTTCTAGCGCCTCAGTGTCGCGATCCAGAGAGGAAATGTTTGCTGTATCTTAGGCACGCACCCAGCCTCCGAAGAGCTGGATGAGGTCTTCCAGCAGTGATTGTTATGTGTGTGTGTGTGTGTGTGTGTGTGTTCTGTAAACTGTAACACAATGCAATGCTACTAATTATCATTAGTCCAATATTGGAATCTTTGGCCGAGTTATAATTCACAACAACTACAGTTGTTGTGAATGCACCCCACAACAGTTGTTTAACTCCCGGGTACCTATTTCCTGGTGAAAGCCACCGTACCCAACCGTATCTGTCCCGCTCGAGGATCGAACCCAGGATCCTAGGTTGTGAGCCAAGGACACAGGACCCATTTATATACAAGTTCCTTTTAGCCATCTTCAAAGCATCACCTCCAGTTCAACGACGACTCGTTCAATCCTTATATCTCGGAATCCTTCGTTTGACACCGAAGGTAAACAAAGAATTTTCACTTAAACGAAGAGTCTAGGTGGACCCCCTCTCCCTATCCTTGTGGTTCTTGATGGAACGCGCTCAGCCCTCGTCTGTGTTGACGTTCGTGGAAGGAAAAAGGATTCGCGGATCGGTGAGTTCTTTTGAATCCGGCTATTTTCCCTCACAACAATGCTTTCAAAACTTCCTTGATGTCGCTGACTGGCAAAAGGTAACTGGCGGGATTGCAGTCGTACACAGTCTATATAAATGGATTTATTTAAGTTCCCGAAAGTGGTTTTTGGCGTTTCTTTAGTTCCAGGGAGAGATGTGATGTACTGACTCGGAGAATTTGTTTTTCTGGTATTTGTTTAGGGATTAAAGTTTAAAACTAAAATGTGATGTGTATGGAAATTGTTTTACTTGCGTATGGAAGTTGTTTTACTTGCTTTTGGAAACTGTTTTACTTGGCTCCAAGGGTTTAAATATTGTTGCTGCTTTTACTGCCCCCACAACTCCAATCACTTGGCAAGATCCCTTGTACTACCAGCTGTCAAAGATTAAGATTCTTACTGTTGTTACAGGAGAAACTACTGATTGTCAAAGAAGTGGGTCGAATCCTCTTGTTGTCAAAGGACTCGTAGATTGCTCCTGTTGTCAATGGTGTTCTAAATTTCAACTGTTGTCAAAGATGTTCTAAATTTCAACTGTTGTCAAAGATGTTCTAAATTTCAACTGTTGTCAAAGATGTTCTAAATTTCAACTGTTGTCAAAGATGTTCTAAATTTCAACTGTTGTCAAAGGAGAAATAGACTACTCATTTTTGTCAAAGGAGCCACAGATTCCTCCTGTTGCCAAAGAAATAGAAGAGTCCTCTTTTTTTTGTCAAGGGAGATATAGATAATTCCTGTGCGTCAAAAAAGTCGCAGATTACAACTGTTTCTCAAACAAAATAGAGTCCTTTAGCCTTCTTTTTTTCCAGATTAGTCGTAGTCGCTCCTTAACACAATAACACCAACACGTGCCAGTGGGGGTTTCTTCCCCTTCTGATCATCACTGGTGTGTAGGGCTTCGTTCTCCGTATTAACCCAGATACACCTCATGTGTAGTGACACAAGACTAAGAAGTGTTTAAACCACAGTTCTTACATTATTACATTATTATTCTCACATTAGTTTGTGGAAAACTTTCTATAACACGAAGGCAGCCGCACCTCTTGTGAACAACAAAATTATATTTCTACAGCTGGATATAGAAACCTTAAGTCTGTCCGAGGTTAGAGACTAGATACTTAGGGGCGAGCTTCTCCCAATTTTTTACCAATAATTGCTGTATGGTACCTGCCCAACATGGATGGGTCGGGATTTGCGTCAAAGAAAAGAATACTTAGAGACACTGTGCTAACTTCACCCCTCACCAAAATCTCACAATACCATGTGGCTCGACTTTAAATTATTATTATTATTATTAATATTATTATTATTATTATTATTATTATTATTATTAAAAGTGTCATTATTGTTGGTCATATCAGAAACTGTAAGCACTGATCACGCCAAAATAAAATAAAAAGTCTAATCATGACACTCTTTAAACCCCCAAAAAAACTTTTAACGATATGTTTTCCATTAGACTTTATGGAATGTGTGTTGATGGAGCAACTATGCGAGAAAAGATCTTAGTGTTGAGATTAGTGATATTGTAGCAGACGGAGAGGGGAAAGGGGGTTAAGACAGGGAAAGAGGAAGGAGGGAGGATTGATTAGTTGTGAATCTTAGTTAATACACTTTAGCGCTCCCGGCAAACGAAAAAAAAACTTCTGCAAAGTGCTCTCAGCGTTTCGGGCGATCGAGCGGCAACACTGAAAAGTGTATACTCTTTTCACTGTCCTGACCTTAATTTTCAATGTACGTAGTTCATTTTTGTACCAATGTGTTTGCAATAGAGTGTTCTAGAAGAACATATGTATAAAATGTCACACAAGAATGCGTTAAACCGGCACCAAATAAAAAACCTACGTCGATTACACTCGTCGTGTCAACAATACAATAGTCTTACCACGAAAATACAATACAATGCCGTTCTCTCAAGTAGGCCATGTGGCTGTTATAGAAAACGAAAATTTCATGGCAAACATGTTCATACTATCCCCAAGTCGATCGGATAAGAATTGGATTTTATAGAAATATTTGTTCATCGGTCACGTAAACACGACGTCTGCTCGCATTCAAGAGAAAAATATGTCGCTAAAGTACGACCGCGGGGCGCGAAAGTGATATGTAAAATTATATTAAGTATCGGGACTGACCAATTTAATAATTTCAATGACTGTTGATAATTGATCAACAGTCATTGTTAACTTTTTAACAGTGATTTTTAATAAGTATCAATGACTGTTGATAATTTCTTATTTTATAAGCAGTCGTCGTTCAAGCTGGCCTGCGGCCTGGTGGCCGCCTGGGAAGGTTATGGTAATTATGTTTTCTGTCAGTTCCGGCAGACAGTATGTGTGTGTTTGGGTGTTTGAGTGTGTTTGGACATATTGAGTGGGGGTGTACTAGGGTGTATGTGTGTTGGAACGTATGTGTTGGGAGGTGTTTGTGTGCTTACAAGGATATTTGTGATGGGTTGTATAGTTGTGTATACTAGTGTAGATGTGAGTGCTTGTGCGGTGTGTTTGTGTGTACTCACCTAGTTGTGCTTGCGGGGGTTGAGCTCTGGCTCTTTGGTCCCGCCTCTCAACTGTCAATCAACTGATGTACAGATTCCTGAGCCTACTGGGCTCTATTATATCTACATTTGAAACTGTGTATGGAGTCAGCCTCCACCACATCACTGCCTAATGCATTCCATCTGTTAACTACTCTGACACTGAAAAAGTTCTTTCTAACGTCCCTGTGGCTCATTTGGGTACTCAGTTTCCACCTGTGTCCCCTTGTTCGAGTACCCCCCGTGTTAAACAATTTATCTTTATCTACCCTGTCGATTCTTCTTAGAGGAATCGACATGTGTGTGTGTGTGTGTGTGTGCAATCAAGTTTGCACCACTCACCCAGCATCATGGCTTCCAGCAGGGCAGACGGCATACTCTCTGACGTGGAGGAGTTGACCATCACTGTGGCACTCTTGATGAGAGCCTGACACTCTTTCGGGGCCAGACTGGGGGCCACTCGCACACCACTCGACCTACGCAAATAAAAATTACATTTAAAACACGAGATGTGTCACAAGAGATGTGAAAAGATGATGAATACAATATCAGCATCACTACCACCACCACCACCACCATCACCACCACCACCACCATCACCACCACCACCATCACCACCACCACCACCACCACCACCACCATCACCACCACCACCAGCACCACCACCATCACCACCACCACCACCACCACCATCACCACCACCACCACCACCACCACCACCACCACCATCACCACCACCACCACCACCACCACCACTGATAAATATTTTTTTTTATTAAAAGTTGGGTACTAAGTTTCGTTAAATCTGACAAATTGAAAATTAATTGACGATGCTAATTACACAAAGCGGTCACAATGGTGTCACAGCAAAAGTTCCCTCTGGAAATGAACCTTAAAATGCACAAAACTTTACAAATAACTAATTGGTGGTTAGTAGAACTACATAATAGGGTAGTAATTGCCTGAGCCAGTCACTGGTCTCCAAGGTTATTCAACCCCTCCCCCCCCCCCTTCCCCCCTTCCTAGAGGTTTCCAAGACTTTAAAAATTGTAAGCTATTGATTTTAATTGAGTAATTACTTCTCCTCGGGTTTAAGGGTGATTTAATCGTGAGTTTTGGAGACATTTGTGTTTCACAGATGCTGTTTGTTATCATTGGAATTGAAAGTTGTGGTTGAATATATCTCCAGATAATTGCTCGTTCGAGGACCGTACTTGTCGGCAATTAAGACGTATCAATTTACAGAAAAAAATGGAGAATTTATGAATGGAAAAAAAAATTTATGGAGGAAAAATTATTGTAGTATGTTTCATTATACATTTATTGAAAGGAATGTTCAAGTGATTTTTAATGGGAGGAAACATGTGATTTTTGTTCATGTAAATACAACATACATATTCGGTTGGTGATACACATCAAAAATACACATCATATCCGGAGGCAAATACAGTAATTTATTTTTTCTTTAGAAACTAAGAGGTAAATGTCCTCCATACATCCTCACTTTCCTTCCGCCCAGTCCCCCACACGCCCTTCCCACCCACGTCCCCCATCCCACCCACACACTACCTGGCAGCGTGGGCGTAGACCCTGGAGGCGTAGAGGGGGTCGAGTGTGGGGCCAACGATCACAAACCTGCCACAACCACCTCTGGCCGCGTGCCAGCCGCTCCAAGCGTCCACCACGAACAACACATCCTGCAGGAAGGAGGAGATTATAAGAGGTGCCTTCTCAGGGTCCTCCTCGGGGCTGGAGGAAGACCTCGACGCCGCTCGTTTTGGGTCACGATGAACAGGGCGGAGACACACACACACAAGTCTTGGGGATGTGAAGGGAAGCTTCATCTCGTCTTAAGGAGCTGAATGAAGTTCCAAGGCTTTGGGAGATAAAAGATTCCCCACGTCTTAGGAGGTGAAAGAAGTCCTCAACGTCTTAGGAGGTGAAAGAAGTCCCCCCACGTCTCAAGAGGTGAAAGAAGTCCCCTACGTCTCATAATGTGAAAGAAGTCATGTTGGCCAGTGACCAGCAAAGACTTGCCACAACCGAAAGGTCGCGGGTTTGATTCCCGCGGCAGGCTCTCACCTAATGCTTATGTTCACCTAGCAACACATAGTTAACTGGGAGTTAAGCAACTGCTGTGGGTTACATCCTGGGGAAGGTCAGTGATCGCCCCGACACTGGAAGAAATCATAGTTTCAAGCATATGTATGAAAAAAGCCCATGATGATAGAGTTATGATAATTAAATAGCGGAGCCTAACAGCTATCATGCAATCCCCTCATATAGTGCTGGTGGTAATAAACACACACACACACACACACACACACACACACACACACACACACACACACACACACACACACACACACACACACACACACACACACACACACACTTCATGTGTGTGTGTACATTCTCAGGCAGTCTTGAAGTTTAAGAAAAATTTAATTTAAAAAAATGTAAAAGCCTTACTTTTACGGGTCTCAGACCAGCAACCAACACAACTAAGGGCTGGAATTTTTCCGGCAAGTCTTGCTTTTCTACTTGGGAATTGGCATCCAGCATAGTTCCTTTGGATATTTCGCCTAGTGGACTATTAGACTTCGCTGGATATTGCATTAGTTTCTCTTCAAAAATACATGTTAAAAGGTTTTCTTTCATCTGGTTTTCTTTGAAGTTGTTCGAGTTGTTTAAGGGAAGACTGATGTATTTTTCTTTCATGGGGCTCTGTGAAGATTCGGACGTGACATACTTGTTCTCCGCAAGATAATTTTCATGGGCGTCATCCAGCATCCTGAGGTAAGACGAGACCTCGAAATCGGGAGTGGGATCGACGATGACTGCTTGTGGTATAATGGAAATCACTTCCGGATTAACCAATGGCTGGAAAATAATGACAGAGCATCAGATATGTTTCCTGACTTTGGGAATAATACACGCTACAGTTCTAATATTATGAAGAAATACAGAGCGCCCTTATTTTGTTAAGCAATCATTAATATATTTTATCCTCTGCTACATAAACTTCATCATCTGCAAATATTATTAAATATGACAAAAAGGGTGAGATTAATGATTCGAGCACGAATCTTCTCTACTTGTCTTCACATAAGAAGGATGTTGAAAAATTTACTCTGCAAAGTTCATTTAGCAGTTTTGTAAGACCTGACGCTAAGAGATGCGTCAGGTCTTGTCAACATTATCAAAACAGTTCGAATCGTTACAATTTTTTGTGCTGTCGGATATATAGTTGGAGATGAGGTGAAGGTTGTTGCTTCAGATTTAGCTACTCATGACGAAGTGTCCATGTAGCACGGGCTATGGTGAGCCCGTAAGAAAGCCCGTAAGATTACTTACAGTTATGAGGTGAAGGTGAAGCACCTCGCTTATGGGCCAATAGACCCATTGCAGCTTATCAATCTCTTATGTTTCCATGATGACTGGGGGGCAGTATATTGTATGTTTCGTCGTGTTAGCGAAGATGGCAGCGAGTAATTTGGTGTAAGTTAGCTATTTCTAGATGGTTTGATTTGTTTTATGTATAATACCTCGCCAATGTCCAGTCTTCTATTGTACATTGTCGCTGTATTAGTCGAGTATTTTGGTGTTGTTTGTCAGGAATATCTCTGGTGATGATCAAACAAACTTGTAACCATTTGAACTCTTCCTTTGATAATGTTGACAAGGGTCAATGAAACGCATCTCTTGGTGTGTTGGTGTCAGGCCTTAATTATGTAGCAAAATGAACTTTGCAGAGTTAATTTTTTCAACATTCTTCTCGAATGAGAAAAACATAAGAAAAATAGTGAAGATTCGTGCTAGACTCATTGATCTCACACTTTGTCATATTAAATAATATTAATATATAGATGAGGCTTTTAGATTTCCGTGTGAGCCTAGTGTAGGTGTGGAGGACTCTCTCAGGTGTGGCGGACTCACCCAGGTGTGGCGGACTCACCCAGTTGTGGAGGACTCTCTCAGGTGTGGAGGACTCACCCAGGTGTGGCGGACTCACCCAGTTGTGGAGGACTCTCTCAGGTGTGGAGGACTCACCCAGGTGTGGAGGACTCACCCAGGTGTGGAGGACTCACCCAGGTGTGGAGGACTCACCCAGGTGTGGAGGACTCACCCAGGTGTGGAGGACTCACCCAGGTGTGGAGGACTCACCCAGGTGTGGAGGACTCACCCAGGTGTGGAGGACTCACCCAGGTGTGGAGGACTCACCCAGGTGTGGAGGACGATGCGTCGCACGTCACTGTGGAAGGCCAGCAGGTGGGAAGCTGCCAGCACCACCTGGGTCATCAGCTGCACCTTCGTCGCCTCCTTCACGCACTCGTACACGTCCGTCCCCCCGAACACCAGGAGGTAGGGCAGCCCCATCTCCTGTTACGGGAACGTTAGAGGGTTCAGCCGTCTTGTACACCACTCCTATTGCTTACACATAGGTCCTCACGGCCCAGTGGATAGCGCTCTGGGGCCGTCGTCCTAAGAGGTCTGGGCTCGCTTTCCAGTTGAGGCAGAACAAAAAATGGGTGTTGTTTCTTTCACTTAATACCTAGCAATAAATAGGTACCTGGGAGTTAGACAGCTGCTGTATCATGTGTGATAGAGATACATATATATGTAGTAGATATGATAGAAGAAAATAGGGCAGGATATTAGACATCCGAAGGTTTGAAAGGCTAGCTCCAAGCCCTCCTGCAGGCACAATATACACAATTTACACACACACACTCTCTCTCTCTCTCTCTCTCTCTCTCTCTCTCTCTCTCTCTCTCTCTCTCTCTCTCTCTCTCTCTCTCTCTCTCTCTCTCTCTCTCTCTCTCTCTCACACACACACAGCAAACTCTACCTTGCAGGCCAGCAGGACACGACCCGACCTGTAGGCATGAAGGCCCACGACGGCGACGATGTTGTTCACTCTGACCAGATGCTGAAGTGAGGCGAGGTGAGGCAGGTCGTCCGGGTCCTGGTCCAAGGCTCTCCACCCCAGGGCCTCCACCTGGCGGCTGGATAACAAACCAGTTGCTATCACTAACACTTTCCTTTTTTTTTTTTGGAGTCAATATACATATGTCAGTTGAATTTATTTTAATCACATACATTTGTACATTATTATTTCGTTGTATTTATTTCTGATTGATTTATTAGTTAATAATTAACTTGTATAGGATGGGGTAAAGGGTGCATAATAAATTGATAGCATATATGGGTCATTATTTCTTCTATATTTCTTTAGATTGAGTCATATGTTGGATTATTTACATGTACCTGTTTCATTTACTGTTGTGTATGTAAACTGAAAAACAATGGAAGAATCATGTAAATAAAATTATTATAATAAGTTCGATATACAGGTGATTAAAGAAACAACTTCGGTTCGAATCCTCCTCACGGCCCTTGTGGGTTTGTTCATTAAAGAAACAAATTGTGTTACATAAAACATTAGCAACTTATGTATGGATTTGGTCGAAGTCTGCTGAAACTCATGGTATTTTGTGCAGAAAAATGTGTTTTTGTGGGAGAGCGAATGGGCTCAGTGGTCGATTAAGGCAGCGTCTGGGATGCTCTCGGACGCAGGTTCGAATCCTCGTCACGGCCCTTGTGGATTGGTTCAGTGAGTGGTTTGATAATGATATAAGTGGTAAGTCACTCGCCTGGCGTTTCGCGAGCACTTTGTCCTGGGTTCGTATCCTGGCCGGGGAGGATTTTCTGGGCTTCAATTTCCTAACTGTAGCCTCTGTTTTCCCAACAGTAAAATGGGTACCTGGGGCCAGATTCACGAAAGCACTTACGCAAGTACTTACGAACGTGTACATCTTTCCTCAATCTTTGACGGCTTTGGTTACATTTATTAAACAGTTTAAACGCATGAAAACGTCCCATTCAGCTGTTGTTATTGTTATAAACAGCCTCCTGGTGCTTCGGAGCTCATTAACTGTTTAATGATTGTAAACAAAGCCACCAAAGATTGAGAAAAGATGTACAGGTTCGTAAGTTCTTGCGTAGAGCTTTCGTGAATCTGGCCCTTGGTTGTTAAACGATTTGGCTGGGTCGTATTCCGGGGAATATTAAGATTAAGGACTTGCCCGAAACGCTATGCGGTGCTAGTGGCTGTACAAGAATGTAAGAACACTTGTATATATAAATAAATGAATTAGTTAATTAATGTAGGTGAACGCCAAGACGGCGTGTTGCCTCACTGCTTGTTCAATATATTTATGAATGGTTAATTAGGGATGTCAAGGTTAATTATTTTCGTTGGTGCAAGGAGGTATAAATTTTCTCTGGTATGTCGGAGGTGGCCGATGTTTTTCTTGGTGTGCGCGGAAAGGTAGCAGTTTTCTTTAGTGTGGGCTAAGAGGCAACAAAGAAAACCAAAGAAAACCTCTTAGAACAAACCAGAGAAAACTACTGTCTCTTAGCATAAACTAAAGAAAACTGCTGCCTCTTGCATAAACCAAAGAAAACTGCTGCTTCTTGGTGTAAACCTCTCTCTTTTTTTTAGATATATTCAAGAGTTGTTACATTCTTGACACAAACCTGCCTCTGGTTTATCTCTGATAACTCAAAAGGAGCATTCTACACCTGGTTTAACGAAGCTATAAGATACTATAAGATCCTGTGCAGTGTTATTTTAAAACCTGTAAATAGTATCGAACATTGACTGTGTTAAACGTGTGGAAGAGAGTAGTGTCAGTTCCTATTGTGATGTTCAACTTGAAGTGTTCAGTGTTAAATGTGCTCTGAGTGAAGGGATCCCTAAGTGCTCTGACCATACCAATTACTATTTTATCTAGACTCACCACTCACCACAGTCGACCTCCAGACTCACCACTCACCACAGTCGACCTCCAGACTCACCACTCACCACAGTCAACCTCCAGACACACCACTCACCACAATCGACCTCCAGATACACCACTCACCACAGTCGACCTCCAGATACACCACTCACCACAGTCGACCTCCAGACACACCACTCACCACAGTCGACCTCCAGACTCACCACTCACCACAGTCGACCTGCAGATACACCACTCACCACAGTCGACCTCCAGACACACCACTCACCACAGTCGACCTGCAGATACACCACTCACCACAGTCGACCTCCAGACACACCACTCACCACAGTCGACCTGCAGATACACCACTCACCACAGTCGACCTCCAGACACACCACTCACCACAGTCTAGCGAGGGTGCTAGCGTTGCCTGTCTCCCTTATCTTATTCTTGCCTACAAGCAGTATCGTAGGTGGTGCTGTCGGTGGTTCCATAAGCAATGTTATCGCCGGTTCCTTAGGCAATGTTGTCGGCGGTTCCTTAGGCAATGTTGTCGGCGGTTCCTTAGGCAATGTTGGAGGTAGTCCCCTAGACATCACTGTGGATGGTTCCTTAAAAGGCTCAGATGTTTCCTTTGGTGGCATAATGTTCCTATGCAACAGGAACGGCAATGTGTCACCCAGCGCTGGCTTCGTTGAAGGGGTATGGCTCTCAGACTCCAGTTTATCTGACCCAAAGCTTAGAATTGGTGGACCAGCAACTGCGGGTGATGATCGACATGGCCTTGTCTGCCATACAGGTTCTCCGCGGGTTCTCTCAGGGCGTGTAGGGAAGAGGCTTCGTGTTGGGGACACGTCTGTAAGCCCTGAGGACTTCAGTGTGGCTTCCATCAGTACCCAGTGCCCCACGTGGGTATCCGAACAAGACGCTGACCTGAGCCTCACCAGTAACTTGCAACTCCTGTCTTAGCAAGCCGTTAGTTTGAGTCTTACATGTTATCCTGTAAACCACGAAAGAAAGAGTCTTATTTACACAGAATAGCTAGCGTCATTGTCAGGAGAAAGCGCTAAGCCAGTACGACTATATAACACTTGGAAGGGATGCAAGTACAAGGGTCTGGGATATGAGGAAAGAGCGAAGGAACAGTGCCTAAACACGTGGACGATTGGAGATCGAACGTCAATCCTGAAAGAAGCGAGACCGCCGCTTTGCCGACCACAGCAGGTAGATGAACCGTTTGCATAGATTATCATCGCCGACTTTGATATATGCACACAAGACTTAATTAGGCCTTGTGTGCAAACAGAGATGATTTAAAAAATAGAACAAGGGGAAGGGATAAAAGCACTCGGACTACAAGAGCAATATTTTAAACATCGTTTGTGACTATTGGCTTATTATTCTGGACCGAAAGAATCAAGTCGTGTGAAAGAAGAGAGGTGATTGGTTGATGAAGATTAATCCACTCAAGAGGTGGCATGGTAAATTATGGTGTAAGTCTTTGACTTTTTTTGTTTGCATTTTTGAACTTACAGTTTTAACCTGAATTATTTATATACTTGTCTGTTCGTGTGAAAACCTGTCTGTGTGATAAAGGTTTGTCAATAGTCGATTGCCAATAGACACAATCGACTTGATAATGGTCCACGACGGACCGAAACGTCGTCGTCTCCTCAGCTTCTGCTGTATGGCTTGGTCTTCATGTCTTCAGCCTCGTTATTGTGACTCATTGTCTGCATAGTTAAGCACAAGACTAAATTGGAGAAGGTTTAACCAGGCATGGCACCAGACTGATACCCGAGGTGAGGGGTTATGAGTTACGAGGAGAGACTATGAGAACTGAACCTCATGTCGCTGGAATAAGAGTTAGCGAGACATGATCACCACATACAAGATTCTCAGAGGAATCGATAGAGGAGGTAAAGACAGTTTATTTAACACAGGTGGTACACACAACAAGGGGACACAGGTGGAAACTAAGTACTCAAATGAGCTCCAGAGACATTAGAAGGAACTTTTCAGTGTCAGGGTGCTTAACAATTTAAATGCATTTGGCAGTGATATGATGGAGGCTGACTCCATAAGTTTCAAATGTAGTTATGATAGAACCCAGTAGGCTCAGGAATCGGTACACCAGTTGATTGACAGTTGAGAGGTGGGACCAAAGAGCCGAAACTCAACCCTGCAAGCACAACTAGGTGAGTGTACACACACACACTAGGGTCTCGTGGCCCTTGCTTCCACGACTCTCACTCCAGGTACCCCAGGTTCGATTCCCGACCGAGACAGAAATAATTGGATACAGTTTCTTTCACCTGATGCCTCTATTCACCTAGTAGTAAGTAGCTACCTGGGAGTTAGATAATTAATGCGGTCTGCATGCTGGGAATGTGTGAGAGAAATATATATAATAGATATGATAGTGAAAATAGGTCGGAAGTCAGTGCATTAGATAACCAACGGTTACAAAGGTGGGTTCCAAGAGCTAACAGCTTGATCTTGCAGGCACAAATAGGTAGATAAACACACACACACACACACACACACACACACACACACACACACTTCACACCACAGGTATGAAGAGCGCCTGAAGGAACTGTGCCTTACGACACTAGAAAGAAGAAGGGAGAGGGGGGGATACGATAGGAACGTATAAAATACTCAGGGGGATTGACAGAGTGGACATAGACGAAATGTTCACACGGAATAGTAACAGAACGAGGGGACATGGGTGGAAGCTAGAAGCTCAGATGAGTCACAGAGATGTTAGGAAGTTTTCTTTTAACGTGAGAGTAGTGGAAAAATGGAATGCACTTAAATAGCAGGTTATGGAAGCAAATTCTATTCATAATTTTAAAACTAGGTATGATAGGGAAATGGGACAGGGAGTCATTGCTGTAAACAATCGATGGCTAGAAAGGCGGGATCCAAGAGTCAATGCTCGATCCTGCAGACACAAATAGGTGAGTACACACACACGCCAACTCCCATTCTCTCACTTAACTCATTTTGCTCATATGAGCTTTTCTAATACCAAACTTCTTTCTAATACTCAACAATACTCGTTTCCAAATCCAGTTTCAGCGCACCAACGACCACATGAATGGGATGTAATCCCACACTGGACGCCTTCGAGATCTTAGCAAGGCTGCACCAGCAGTTTCACAGCACAACACAGCAGTCTCCAACACTCTACAGCTTGACAGCTTGACGACAACACTTTTTTCAAATCAACTTCAGAAATTTGTAATATTTTCGGGCACTCGTTTAATTCTGTGTAATTCAACGACAGTTTCCACGTCCGGAGCGAACCCAACAACACAGCGACAGCAACAACACCGCTAATGTACGATAATATCACCCCAACACACATATATACATACACCTCATCACACCCGAGGCGAAACTAAGGCATTCCCTCCCTTGTGGTCATCTCCACCCCACTCACACCCTCCCTTTCCCCCCTACCTACCTCCCTCCCTACCTACCTCCCTCCCTGCCTACCTCCCTCCCTCCCTGCCTACCTTCCTCCCTGCCTATATACCTCCCTCCCTGCCTATATACCTCCCTCCCTGCAGCCTAGGTCCCTCCCTAAACCCCACTTCCTTCGTTCCTGTTCCTCTCTCCACCCTACTTCAAATAGTCTCACCATATACAACTGTTTCCTCCCCCATCTCTCTCTCTCTCTCTCTCTCTCTCTCTCTCTCTCTCTCTCTCTCTCTCTCTCTCTCTCTCTCTCTCTCTCTCTCTCTCTCAAAACAAACCCATTGTAGCTTCTTTTTCTAAATAAATGATTATTATTATCGTTATTACGTTGTGGCAAAATAGGTATTTTTACCCATTTGGGTATCATGCAGGTCACAGTTCATAATATACTGAGACGTGTGAGTGTTCACAGTATACTCACGCACTCTGGGGGAGTATACTGAGACGTGTGAGTATTCACAGTATACTCACGCACTCTGGGGGAGGAGTGACTCGCTGACGTCGAGTACAGCATACGTCAGCAGCCCGGCCCCCGCGAGCAGCCAATCACAGCGCTGCGTCGTCTGCCGCGCCTCCACTATTATTACCTCTATTATTACCCATTCTTCCCCCCTCCCTCCCTTCTTCCCTTCCCTTCCCTCCTGTTCCCTCCTATCCCTCATGCACCAAGTCATCCCCCTTCCTCCACCCCCTGCATACACCCATCTCGTTATTCATCCATATTTACCTTAATTGCAACATACAGGCTGAGTCAAATGTTACCAAAGGCAATTTATATCACACCTGTGATAATATTGCAATAATATTGACGTGCAACGTTGCAGTTGTGGCAAGTCATAGTTCCTGGCAGTGCAACATAAGATTGTTCTACAATACGGCAGCATTATTGCATTATGCAACAGTTGCTGTCAGCACTAGTCTGGTGTGACAACTCCGTGCGGGTGTACATGCACTGTGAGGGTGTGTACATGCACTGTGAGAGTGTACATAGACTATGAGGTGTACACGCATTGTGAGGGTGTATGACTGGTGGGTCCAGCCGCTTGGACAGTTAAGAATTGACCTGCAGGAAGCGAGGCTTTCGCTATCCCGACGAGTCCCAGGCGCTTAATTGGACGTATTCAGGACTTAAACAACTCATATAGGCTGGTCAGTAAGCTGGTTCACGACCTTAATGACCCCCTCAAGCTGTTGATGGATCTTAAGTTCACCATCAAGAAACCACTCTGGCTGTTAGGTTTTATAATTGAGACAAGATGTATTTATATTTAAGATTTAAGATAATTTAAGAATAGATGTTATATAATACAGGACGTTACATGCGGGTGTACGTCTGTTCTGTAGGACACATATAGTTGTAGGTGGATGATGCATTATACATGTGGGAAAGTGCATGATACACATGGAATAATACATTATACGTGTGGGATAATTCATTATGCATGTGGGCTCTTATTGCGCAGTAATGTTGCTTGGGAGAAAGAGAAAGAGCTCTTATCTATGTAAGTCTCCTGGGGAGAGAGGGTTGTTATCAGGCCAGCTGTTCAACAGGAATAAAAGTTTATCGGATTGCAATCTGTGTCTGCAGTTCTGTATTGAAGAGGCTTCTTTCCGGGCTGGGGGCGCTATTCAGCTCCGAACACAGATTTTGTCATATAGTCTGTGTTATTTAACTAGTAGTAGTTATTTAACTAGAACTACTAGCTAGGTGTAGTGTGTTATTAGTCTTCGAAGAGCGTTCTTATTTGAGTAATTATTTTGAAGTTCAGCTGTGGGCAGAGATCTCATTAGGCTGTGAATTCTACTCATTTTAGCAACGAAGAGAATTCTTATGGTGATGAAATCTATTTTACTATGTTGCAGAAAACCTTTATTGGGCTCTAATATGCTGATTAGCTTTGAAGAAAACTACTCTTTATTTTTTTTTTTAGTATTTTGTTACTATGTCACCTGTGAAACTGTGACAGTTTTCATGCTAATATTGTACTTGTTCTGTCCAATTATATACAGTATATATATATATATAGCAGTGTGTGGATCTGTACTTTGAATGTCTATTATTGTATGCTGTTAGCTATTCATTTATATGATTTTTTAATTGTTGAAATGCGAGCGTAATTCGGTCACCACAGTGGTGCCAAATTGCGTCCATAATGTTGTGTATGTTGAACAATGAGAGCTTCTAATTTTTTTTTTTGTTCAAAGGTAACGTTTCTCTGTCTCTGTCTTTCTGTCTGTCTGTCTGTCTGTCTGTCTGTCTGTCTGTCTGTCTGTCTGTCTGTCTGTCTGTCTGTCTGTCTGTCTGTCTCTCTCTGTCTCTCTCTCTCTCTCCCTCTCTCTCTCTTGTGGTTGTGGTTGTGGTATAATCACACACACACACACACACACATATCAATGTCCAACAGCATACTCACACACGCCCTCATGCCAAGATAATTATGAGGAGAACGTTCTAAACCAGTTTCGACTACATAGCACTTAGAAGGGCTATGAGGACAAGCAGCTGGAATTGAACGGAGGAAAGGAATGGTGCCTAACCATTTGGACCATTGGGGATCGAGCACAAACCTGCAAGAAGTGAACCCGTCGCTGTATCGACCAGTCCAAGTGATTGGGTAAATGAACCACAGATGCATTAAACAGACATTTGTCAGCGTCAGAACAATAAACAAAATTCGCTAAGACGTGAGATGATGAGAGACTTCATACAGTTTCAAATGTCGATATGATAGAGCCCAATAGGTTCAGAAAGCTGTATACCCGTCGCTTGACAGTAAAGAACTGGGACCAAGGAGCCGAAGCTCAGCCCCCCCCCCTCCCTGCAAGCATCTTATGTGTTGGAGAGTCTATACTCACATCTTCACAATCCACTAATACTCTATATGATTATATATGATTGGAGAGTTCTATATTGGTATACGCCACTTAATCATCTGGGATTATAGGTGAAACACTTCCCTCTTCATTTGGCTCCAAAATGGTTCACATGTCTAGTGCAACTACCTTGAGGTGCTTACCTTGAGGTGCTTACCTTGAGGTGCTTCCGGGGCTTAGTGTCCCCGCGGCCCGGTCGTCGACCAGGCCTCCTGGTTGCTGGACTGCAGGACGAAGGTTAAAAACAAATATTTACATTTCTAATATCGTAATGTGTGGGAGGGAGGGAATTATCAGGGATAAAGTGCCAAGCCATTACGACTATATAGCACTTGTAAGGGGTCAGGATAAGGATTTGGGATGTAACGGAGGGGGAAGTAAGGAATGTGTAGATTGATTATCTATGTTCTCTTGTCTCGACTTACGACAGATTGATATAGTTTGCGCCTTTGTGAGACATCGATCATGTTCTTCAAGGGGTTTTTTATTTATATTCATTATTTACGTTTATTTGTTTTGTTTCTTCGTTAGCTTTATTTATTAGTTTTATTTTGTATTTTTTTTATTCGTTTAGATTTATTTTTTATTTTTATTTATATCCATTACACTGATTATAGCAGCCATTCTCTTATATGCAAAAATTATTTTAGATAAAATACTTAAATACATACAAATTGTGCCATCTAGATTTATGTATATAAGGCATAATGATGTTAATGATAATTACGGGCTATTCATGTCCGTGCCACTTCATGGGTGGCTGTTGTTGTTGTTGTTAAAGATTCGCTACCTGAAACAAGAAGTTCCAGGTAGCACGGGCTATGGTGAGCCCGTAGTGCCTTTTTGTTTAATTTGGGTGGCTGTCTTCATCAATCAATTGTTAACTTAATCCTGTATAAATGTAAACTGTGTAAACCTAGTTACAAATGTAGGACCATTTTATATATTATATATCAAGTTTTTGTATTTTGGAAATCCTGTAAGTGATGTTGGTCTGAGGTCTTTTTTGTATCAGAATAGGGATTAATTAACTACATTTGTGATTATTTCCTTTCATTATAATATTTTAAAGGTAAGGAAATTATCAAGAGAAAGCATTAAGCCAGTAAGACTATATCACTTGGAAGGGATATGAGGACAAGGAGCTGGGATATGAGGACAGGGAGCTGGGATATGAGGACAAGGAGCTGGGATATGAGGACAAGGAGCTGGGATATGAGGACAAGGAGCTGGGATATGAGGACAAGGAGCTGGGATATGAGGACAAGGAGCTGGGATATGAGGACAAGGAGCTGGGATATGAGGACAAGAAACTGGGATAGGGAGTGGGGAAGGCCCAAGTGCCCAACCGCTTGCACCATCGGGGATCGAACGCAGACCTGCTACAAGTCACTACAGCGCTATACCGACCAGTCCAAATGGTTAGGCATCAATGTCTTAAAAGCAAAATAAAAATATATCACAAAAATAACAAATAAAATCATTTTAACATAATGCAAAATATCTTGTATAATAAAATGCTTCTGTTGCATTTTACTTGCACAAGACACGTATGAAAATACAATTTATTCAACACTTCTTTATAATCCACTGTATAGGTAGGAACATTAAAATGGCAATGCAAACAGTAGTTAATATATATATTATATGTGTCTTTACAAATTGGAAGCTTAAGTCTCTTAAATCTAGGGAAGATTAATGTCTAAGACACACACCACTGGAGCGACATAGAGATATCTCACGGGTATAGAGCACTGTATTCTCTGTTGACTCTACACGGGGCACTTAGTATAGAGCAGAGTACAACCTACACACTGTATAGCATACTTTGCCCTTTACATAGCGCACTCTACACAGGGCATAGTGCACTCTGATCTCAACTTTGCGCACTCTACACACAGCAAAACGCCCTCAGCGCACATCCCAGCTCACTATACCTATTGCCATGCTCCAGAGGCCAGTCATGTACCTTATATACAATAAAACAAATGACTATCACGATGATATGTAGTATGACGAGAGTGGATGAAGAGAGGGACGCCGGAGTGGCCACTACCGCCTCGTTGGGCTGTGGGCGGGCGTGGCGGAATAGGGCGGCGGGAGGTCGGCTATGGTGCTGAGTGTGGGCGGCGGGAGGTCGGCTATGGTGCTGAGAGTGGGCGGGCAGGACACTACCCGCAAAGCGGTGTGGGGCACTGCCCTCCCCACCACCCGTGCCCCGCCCACAGGATAGCTGGCTGCGGAGTAACTGGGCGGCGGGTCGGGCGGGTAGTGTGGATTCCTCGGGTAACTGGGATTCTGCGGGTACCCGTTGGTGTGCTGGGGTAGGGGCATCTTGATGTTGTTGTTGTTAGAGCCGTGGGTAGCGGCGTAGGGCTCCTGGTCGGACTCTGGGGCTGAGGGCCTGGGGGAGAGCTGCTGGTGGGGCCGGACAGGGGGCACTGCGCCCCCACTCACAGTGTACACGGAGGAGGTTGGGGAGTTGGAGTCGCTTCCCAGCTGCCGGGGACTGTTGGAGGTGGCCATGAAGCAGCTTCCAAGGGTCACCAGGCCAGCCATACCTGAAGGAGGAAGGGAAGATAGAGTAATGGTCTGACGGAAAGGAAATAATTGACAGTGCCAAACCCTACAGAGTGAAGACTGCAGATCATGTGACGATGCCAAATCTGGCGCGCGGCACTGCCATATATTTGTTTTTTCCTTTAAAATAACAAATAATACAAACCATTACCAAACGGTCGCTTTTTCCCGCACCCATTACACCCTTCCTTGCCCATTCCGACCTTCTTATCCCCCTCCTTATCCTCATCTCCCCTCCCCCCCCACTCTCCGTCCCAACCCCCACCCCACGCAAACATGCTAATGACGTCTGTGCAAATAAAAAACATACCGGAATTATATTTTTTTATCGTGATAAACGGGACAATGGAGTTACGATACTAGATCCCTGACGCACTAAGGTGGTGGAGCAGATTGGGCAAAGCAGCGTTGTGCATCAACAGGTCCTCGACAAGGCTGGTGTTTTCTATGCAACAACCTTGATGTAACTCTTGCTTAGTTTGGAGACTGTATTTGTGGTCGTCCTCGAACTCATTGTAAGATAAACATACATTAAGCTGTAACTGCCTTATCAAGAGTGTAAATTATTTTGGGAAATGAATTTTATGGTTCAATTTCTGAGGCTATTGTGTTTCTGCAATCATTTATTTCCGGTACCGCCCCACAGGACGAGTACGTGGTCCATGGCCGCCCACGGGATGGGTATGGGGTCCAGGGGCTGCCCACGGGATGGGTATGGGGTCCAGGGGCCGCCCACGGGATGGGAATGGGCCCCAGGGCTGCCCACGAGATGGGTATGGGGTCCAGGGCCGCCCACGGGATGGGTATGGGGCCCAGGGCTGCCCACGGGATGGGTATGGGGTTCATGGCCGCCCACAAGATGGGTATGGGCCCCAGGGCTGCCCACGGGATGGGTATGGGGTCCATGGCCGCCCACGGGACCCCCATACCCATTCATACCGAATGGGTATGGGGTCCAGGGCCGCCCACCGAATGGGTATGGGGTCCATGGCCGCCCACCGGATGCGTATGGAGTCCATCGCCGCCCACGGGATGGGTATGGGGCCCAGGGGCCGCCAACGGGATGGGTATGGGGTCCATCGCCGCCCACGGGATGGGTATGGGGTCCATGGCCGCCCACCGGATGGGTATGGGGTCCATGGCCGCCCACCGGATGGGTATGTGGTCCATGGCCCAAAGCTGCATTTTTTACAGTGGCAAAATCGCGAAAATGGGATAACGTCACTAGGATTTTAAAGCAAATAATATCACTATTTCTCGTGCAATATTATTATCACTAGTATCTAAATATTATCTAAATATCAAATATCATTTTAATGTAACTAACAAATATCTAAATATTTATAAAGTTTAGTAACATTTATGTTGTTACCTGTAGCGTTGATATGATCTAATTAGCATATATAATTAATTTTTATTTGTCACATCAACAATTGTAATTTAAATAATAATATTAGCTTGCCTCAAAGGTTACTGGGATATCTACGTGTCTTGTGTGTGTGTGTGTGTGTGTGTGTATGTGTGTGTGTGTGTGTGTGTGTGTGTGTGTGTGTGTGTGTGTGTGTGTGTGTGTGTGTGTGTGTGTGTGTGTGTGTGTGTGTGTGTGTGTGTGAACTCATTTATTTGTACTGACCTATTTGTGTCTGCAGGATCGAGCATTGACTCTTGGATCCCGCCTTTCTAGCCATCGATTGTTTACAGCAATGACTCCTGTCTCATTTCCCTATCATACTTAGCTTTAACATTTTGAATAGAGTTTGCTTCCATAACCTGCTCCTTAAATGCATTCCATTTTCCACTACTCTCACGCTAAAAGAATACTGCCTAACATCTCTGTGACTCATCTGAGTTTCCAGCTTCCACCCATGTCCCCCTCGTTCTGTTATTATTACGTGTGAACATTTCATCTATTTCCACTTTGTCAATTCCCCTGAATATTTTATACGTTCCTATCATATCCCCTCCCTCTCCCTTCTTTTTTTGTTCTTTTTTGTTGTGTGTGTATGTACCATATAAGCATATATATATATATTATAGGAGGCTTAAATTCTTTTTGGTTTTCCTTTAGCGACAATTGCTTTGCTACACTACAGTAGCTTGGATACCATAGTTTCCCATTCCATGATCATCATTTTCTATTTTAGAGTGAAATTTAAAACAGGAAACTAATTCTAGGATTTTATGGGATACTACAAAATACCCGCTGATTAAAACTTTGTTGTAACCCCTGTAATCCTTTATGCGCTACCGCTCACAGGATGAGCATGATGTGTACAGCTGCCTATGGAGAGAACAATTAACAATTAAAACCCCAGGGGCATAGAGGGATCATGTAGGGGTGAGGGAAGGACAGTTTCTCAGTAGACGGAATTAAGGTCCAGCGTGATAACTAATGATAACATTTGAGTGATAACTTTACGTGTAAAGGGTATGTGTAAATGTGTAAATGAGTGTGTGTGTGTGTGTGTAAAATATCTCATATCTGGTTGATTGACATTATTATATACTTGTTGACTGCTAAAGAGACTATGACTAGTGGCGCAATCCATTCAGACTACTTCTCTAAATTATCTGAGGTAGCCAGATGAGTTGATTAGTAAACAATATTGTGAGGCGTCCTGGAAATACATTCACAACAACTCAACTTAATATATGTCAAATTAAAGGAATAGATTATTGTTCTCTTAAGGATGTGCATCATGATTCTTCTAGACATATGTCATTCAATATGACAGGAAAGGACATTGATTATGATAGAATATAACATATGTGATTAAATATGATAGAAAGGATATCAATGATTCTAAGAGCGAATCCTCTTTATCGACCTCATGCCCATCTAAAATTGAGAAGAAAGTTGAACAAGAAACTCTCAAAAGTCCAGTTTTACAGCTGTGTTACGGTCTGATACTAAGAGATGTGTTGCGTTGATCATGTCAACATTCTCAAAGGTAATGGTGAAGTGGATACAAATTAGCCGGAACAACTAAGAATGGAACAAATCCACAAGGGGGCCTTGACGAGGCTTCGAACTTATGCACTGGATGTTCCCAGCCGCGCTCTAGTCAGCTGTACTGCGACAAGGTACAAGAAGGGTGATGTGAAGGAAGTAATGAGCATATGGGCCTCTTGCAGTTCTAGAAACTGTTATGTTGTTATGCTTGCTAGTGCAGTGCATGTGAGACATTCTGGCTTGGTCTTGACGATGGTAGTAAATCGTTTCTCCCGAGTGTGAGCTGGTTGCTAATAGCTGGTAATTGTGATTGTAATTGTGATGCCTCGCTAATCTTTTATTGTCGTTGTGTCTGTCGCTCATTTACCCTTGTTGTTGGTTAGGATATCGTTGGTGATGATTTGGTTCGTGTAAAAAATATATATTTATGTTCTTTGATGTTTGTGCCTTGTTAGGCGTGTTTTGATAGATGATGATGATGGTTTGCGTATATACTGAGAGTGTATATACGCTACATATCATAGGTAAGATATGTATATTGGTGTGTACTCACCTAGTTGTGCTTGCGGGGATTGAGCCTCGGCGCTTTGGTCCCGTCTCTCAACTGTCATTCATCTAGTGAGCTGTGTGTGTGTAAATCTCTTGAGTTGAACTCTCTCTTACATGTTTAATATATAAATTATGTGAGATAAGTGAGCTAGCAGTGTATAGTGAGGTTTTCATGGGTCGGTCACAATGTATGACGGAGTCATTTCGTAACTTATATGAACGTGATTCATATAAATTACTTATATTCATAACTTATATTCATATAAGTTTACTTCAAAAATGGTTTCTATGATGTTTTCGTCGCATCATCATCTCTACTGTCATCAACATCGTCATTGTCATCACCATCTACATCCTACTCATCACCAACATCATCATCATCTGATCTTATTTCTCACCAACAACTAACAGCCTCGATCGAAGTGCATGACGTCATAAAAAAATATTTCACCATTCCATAACGCGAAAAAAGACCCACACGCAAACATCAAAGGTCAGGTGACAGGCAGGAACACGCTCCTAAGGTCACGAGGAGGTCACGCGTCGTGACCTCCTACGAGGAGTTGTTAAGGTCGTGTGACACTAATTTACTGACCAACTACTGAGTTAACCTTAGGCCTCAGCCTTTTCTAGGACAACGGTAAACTCGCAGTGTGGATACACGGAGATAGAGGAAATATATATATACACCTCTGGGTGTATGTAGACTGAGAGGTATACACACACACCGCTTCTCGGTGTTTATATATATACACTACTGTTTTCGGTTCGGGGCGTGAGGCTGCTGAGGAGTTTGGAAAGCAACGCTACGATTCAATATAGGGTCGATTTAACTGATGGCCTGGCTGTGGATTACTGCGTTTTCCTGTCGTTCCCTGTAGTTACTCGTAGGTGAGTAGCAGCAACACCACCACCACCTACTCCTACTCCGCCTACCACTACTCCTACTCTTCCTCCACCACCACTACCACCACCTACTCCTACTCCACCTACCACTACTCCTACTCTTCCTCCACCACCACCACGCGACTTACACCCTGAAAGCGAAAGTGGCCTCAATATAAAAAGGAAACCACAAGGACGAAGGCGACCTGGCCGCCAGGACTGACCCCAGCGATACAAGAGTCTGAAGGTGTGGGAAGTAACACCCCATCCCCCTGGTGACCAGCTGGCAGGTGGTGGGGCCAGGTCCACCCTATATACAGGGCAGGACCTTATATAGGGAGTGAACTGAAGAACAATCCTTGAGATCGCGGCCAACACCATCCCAAAAAACTGGATCTCCACAAGCCAGCGTTCACCTTCCGTGTCTGGCACAATCGCTCTCGTCCTTTCACGTGGAAATGTAAGCTATACGTTCCTCAAACCCCCAGGAGATGAAATGTGGAATCGATGGCTTTCAACGATGTGGACATGAGGTGTGGGAGAGGAGGGAGAGAGGGGGAAAGGAATGAAGGAAAATGGGAGAAGGGGGCCCGCGGGATGGGGGTCAATACATTAGGCTAGTGATACTATTCGATGTAATGACGGTACGTTGCAAATGTTGCCAATTTGGTGCATAGCTCAATGTTTTCTTGGGTTGTGGAGGATGTTGCGACAGGTCCAGTTGCTCCATGCGGCCGCGCCCCTCCTACTGGCCCTCAATCTCAATTCCCGCTTACAAATCAGGTTGCGTGTCTTGATTTTATTTTGAAACAAAATGCCACCGTTAAATTTGGCATTTGTGCACCGTACACGCACACACACACACGAACGCACGCACGGACACACACACACACACACACAACTCGCTGTATAGTGTATGTGTGTGTGTGTGTCAGATACTCAAGGACCTACAGTGTCACATCTGCTTGCGCCTATACACTGTGTATGTATCCCAGAAGAGCTGTTCCCGCCTGGCTTCCGGTTAAATCACGCTCTTGATTTTTTAGCAAGAGTCATCTAGCTGTCCTTGAAACGCCGACACTCCTCTTAGAGAAGAAAAAACTGCCTAGTGCTTGAGGAAGGAGGGAGGGAGAAAATTATCAGGGGAAAAGCGCCAAGCCATTACGACTATATAGCACTGGGAAGGGGTCAGGATAAGGATTTGTGAAGGGACGGGAAGGAATGGTGCCTAACCACTTGGACGGTCGGGGATTGAACGCCGCCCTGCATGAAGCGAGACCGTCGCTCTACCACCTAGCCCAAGTGGTTGGGCACACCAGATATCCTTTGAGGTTTGAGTTAGAATAATTATTTACCACTTTTTTTCCCCGTGGGAAATACTAAATACAAGATGTCATGTTTGGTGACTTATGAGTCATGCCGGCTCCTTGCAAGACACCGTCGCCACTACAGTCTGGCTGATCAGGTATGTCCAGGAGCCAAATATCAAGTTTCCACTCGACGACAGTTAGGAGCCTGTTGGTAATTCCCCCTCAAGCAGGTACTTGGACGACAGAGGTTGGCCCTGTCAAGGGAAGGTTTATATAAGACCAAAGTTGATCACCAAACCGTTATACCCTCCACCAAGGAGGACCCTTAGTTGAAGCGACCACGCCCTCCTCCTCCTCGTCCTCCTCCTTCTCCTCGTCCTCGTCCTCGTCCTCCTCCTCTTCCTCCTCCTTCCCGTGGAACTTCAGTCGCCAGTGCAGAGAATTTCATATTCAATCTAGCCTAGCCTAGTCTAGCCCAGCCCATCCCAGCCTAGTCCACCTTCAACACACACCTTCCCTTCCCTCTGCTTCCTTGTTCGTAAATTCTCCATACCCTCATCTCCCCCCAACCCCTTCTCTCTCCCCCAGTTTTTATTTTTTAAGTTTTTAAATTTGTAAAGTAAAATCAATCCCAATGCCTGCCTGATGATGCTAAGGGTTAGGAATTATAGTGAAACTACTCATGATGAGTTCATTTATATTTCTTGCACTCTGTCACATCAACCTTGTGTTCAGGTGTGCGTCTATTGCACTCTGTCGCCTGGATATGCGTTCATGTGTGCGTCTTGCACTCTGGAATCTCAGGAATAAGAAACGCTGGACTCTGACTGGAGTTCTTGCAGCATAGCAAAGGGCGGGAAAAAGTGGTTAGATTCAGAGTGTAATTTTAAACAAAGGTGAATGTCAGAGAAGGTCTAGACTGTATCGTTGATTTCTCTGGGGGGGAAATGGTCAAAATTTGTTCTTAGTAAGATGGTGTTTTTTTCTCTCTACTATTTAGACTCGTTCACTACTCCTCCTTTCCATCCTACGTCTTCTCCATCATCCTGCATGTCTTCTTCCTTCAACCAATTCCTTCCTGCTCATACCTCTCCGTTCACAACTCCTTCCCCAACTTATCCCTTTGGCATAGCTCCCCTACCACCCCCACCACTTCATAACTCCCCCATCACCACCCCCCAACTCTCACACTAGCCCCCTCCCCCGACCTCCCCCCACAAACACCTCCCCCCACCATTTCAACAACCCCGGCTCACCATTCTGGCTAATATCAAGGTTGGGTCGAACTCACAAGAAACGAACCTAGCGCTCTGTTGTTGCTATTATCGTCCCTGCCAGCCGCTACGAACTGGTATTCAGGCGGGTCCGCGTCGCCTATGTCCTTCGAGTTGAGGTTACTGAGAGGTTCGTGGTTTCTATCCTTTGGTTGAGGTTGCTGAGAGCCATCGTTCGTGGTTTCTGTCCTTTGTTTGAGGTGGCTGAGAGGCATCGTTCGTGGTTTCTGTCCTTTGTTTGAGGTTGCTGAGAGCCATCGTTCGTGGTTTCTGTCCTTTGGTTGAGGTTGCTGAGAGGCATCGTTCGTGGTTTCTATCCTTTGGTTGAGGTTGCTGAGAGTCATCGTTCGTGG